GAGACATCGTGAATGCCACTGGACGCACGGGATAACGCGACTTGTGAGATTTTGTGAACTATGACCGGTTATCTGAGAGGAGGATTTCTCGCATGCCGAACTGAACCAATAACCGACTGAGGTTTTTTGTTACGGCAGGCGTGGTAAGAATACGCATCGGAATGTCTTCAGGTCACTTGGATCGAGTATCGATAATTATTAGGTAAAATGTACTTTTAACGGGCCACAAAAATCAATGTGAATGTGTGACCAGTGAGCTACCACAGGTTGCAACGACGGAGGTTCAGCCCTAGGGGATAGTGTAGCATTTCTAGTAATAGTAGTAGTAGTAGTGGAAGTGTTGTGAGATACCACTCACTTGTGAGTAGAACGCAAAAAATGCGATCAGCGGTTTCTTTCAAAGACCAAAAATCAACAAGACCTGTTGGAGCAAACTGCTGATGTTCGGTATGGTGAATACAAGAATTCGCATCTAATAGTGAATCGTTTCATCGACTATCCTGTTTGCGTGTGTGAATTCTACAACCTTGTTTCAAATGAGATATTTTGTTGTATGAATGACAATATGACCATATCTCGAACGTTATTGGCAATAGATAACTACCCTCGACCAGCACCGTCTTTTGGAATTATAACGACTGGTGCCGTCACCAGGATCAGGATGAAGCCTTCGAGGATGGAGATGCGCGGGCTTTCCTGGAGGAGTTCGAAGACGTCGCGGAGCTGGAGGAAATATGGTCGGACCGGGGTAAGTTGACGGCCCTCCGAGCGCTTCTCGAGGGCCGGGCGCGGGCGGTGTTGGATGCTGCGCGAAGAGGCCCGGAGAAGATGAAATAGGCCGCCGCGAAGGACGCCTTGATCGCGGGTTTCAACACCCCTGCCGGTCGCCAGAAGGCGTTGCGGAGATTCCAAACGGCGCAGCTCGTAGTTGTGGCGGATTCTCTGTCGCACACCGTAACTCTGAGCACTGTCAACTTTGAACGACGCTGTTCGCTCGGAATCATTACTGGAGCGCTTCGTGGAGAGTCTGCCGGACAATCTGCGGGAAAAGGTGCGAATTGTCCAAGCGATGTGTGTCATGGGTGAATTCACATTGGCTGAAGCCGTGAGACAGGTAACAAATCATGAAGTTTTGGCTCTCCAAACTCACAAGAAGACAGCCGCTGTAGGATGTTACGGAAACCCCGAAAAGGCTGACGGAAGAAGTAGAAACATAGAAAACAAACTGCGGAGTAAGAAAGAACAGGAATGTATGCTTTCAATGCTGCAAACTGGGCCACTGGCGCAGGCATTGCCCAGAAGGATACAAAAAATGTTCTCTCGAGAAACGGTTTACTCAGAACACGCCCGTCCCGTCCAACAAGGCTGTAATAAGAGCAGTAGATCGCGGTGCACTCCAGGCCCAATTGGAGATGCATGGTCGGAAAGGGCTATGTCTAATCGACGTCGGTGCGACAATATCGTTGGCGAGACCCCAAGCAAATAAACCCTTGGAACCGTGGAACACAGCTGTGAAAACAGTCGGCGGTTACCAGTTGAAGATAGACGGAGTAGCCAAACGGACAGTCCGCGTTGGAAACAAGAAAATCAAGCATTCATTTATCATAACAAGAAGAAGTTGTCAGCCGTGAGTACAGAAACCACTC